TCTAATTATAAAAAGGGTTTTTTATTTCTAGGCCCATTTGTTTACTCATCTTTACCTCTAAGCCCAATAACTATTCTTTGTATTCTTAAACCCAAGTTTCTTTTTGTTTTTGCCTTTAAACCCAATTTCTAAAATACTGTATATACAACACTGGTATTCATACCCAAACATGATAAAAACCCTAAAATACCCTTCAATACCCCCACTTAAACCAGACCCCCTCTCTCTCTCCTCATTTTCCTTCTTCCTCAGGTCTTCGTCTTCCTCCTTCCTCAAGGCTTTGTCTTCCTCCTCCGATCCCACCTCTCATGCCCCCTCCAAGAAATCGAAGAAGAAAGGAAGAAAGGCCCATGATTTTAGTGCTTGATGTCTTGAAAAGGCCCACGACGGATCTCGAGGCAGCCGGACACACCTCCACCCTCTCCAACGAGACACTACAATTCTTCAACGATCAACAAGATGCTTGATGATTTTGGCTTCGGGATCTCTTTCGATGACGAGGAGGAGTGATTTCGTGTGAAATCTCATTTCTATATACTCGATTAGGGTTAGGGTCAGGGTCGGGGTTGGGGGGTTAGGGTTAGTTCATTGATGTTCTTTTGTGCTATCCCTTTTTGTTGAACTAAATCTAATTGTAGAATTGGTTTTATCAATTTATGAATGTATCGTTTCTGTTGAACTAAATCTAATTTGTACACAATAGATTTGCAAAGCAAGAGGTGTGAAATCTGAAGAATCTGGAATTTTGTACCTGTAAATTTTGCTTATAAAGAGTTGGAGAGTATGGAGCTTGCTTTGAAGATTGTGAAAGAGAAATTGCTGGGTAGAGTTAATGGAGTCAGTTATGCTATATGTACATTTTGAAGATTTGTGCAATTTTGAAGATTTGTAACATTTTGTAAAGTCTGGAGCTTGCCTTGAATATAATATCAGTTATATTATGTACATTTTGAAGATTTGTAACATTTTTGAAAGCCTGGAGCTTGCCTTGAATATATGATCAGTTATGCTATGTTTTTTGTGAAGATTTGTAACATTTTAAAAAGTCTAGAGCTTGCCTTGAATATATGATTAGTTATGCTAAGTATATTTTGAAGATTTGTGTAATTTTGGAGTTTGATTTGTAACATATTGTTTCAGATTGTAAGTTTTTGAAAGTAGAAAATGAAAGTGTTGTTAGTGCAATATCGTTATTATTTGTGCAATTTTGGAGTTTGTAAGACTGGAATTTTGTGTAATTTTGTGAGTGCTATTTTGTGGAATTTTGTGTAATTTTATGAGTGTTATTTTGTTCTTGTGCAATTTTAAGGCTGTTTTCTTTGAATTTATTGTAATCGACCGAAGATATAATGAATTCGACAACAAATTCGACTTTAATACGCTACACTTATAGCATAACACGCTACACTTACAGGATAACACGCTACACTTACAGCATAATACGCTACACTTACAGGATAACACGCTACACTTATAGGATAACACGCTACACTTACAGCATAACACGCTACACTTATCTATAAATGTAGTGGGTTATCTGTAAGTGTAGCGTGTTACACTGCAAGTGTAACGGGTTATTTGTAAGTATAGCGGATTATCCTGTAAGTGTAGCGTGTTACACTACAAATATAGCGGGTTATCCTGTAAGTGTAGCGGGTTAGACTTTAAATGTAGCGGGTTAGACTTTAAGTGTAGCGGGTTAGACTGTAAGTGTAGCGTGTTATGCTGTAAGTGTAGCAGGTTAGATCGTAAGTGTAGCGTGTTATGTTGTAAGTGTAGCGGGTTAGACTGTAAGTGTAGCGTGTTATCCTGTAAGTGTAGCGTGTTATGCTGTAAGTGTAGCGTGTTATCCTATAAGTGTAGCGTGTTATGCTGTAAGTGTAGCTTGTTATCCTGTAAGTGTAGCGCGTTATGCTGTAAGTGTAGCGGGTTATCCTGTAAGTGTAACGTGTTATGCTGTAAGTGTAGCGTGTTAGACTGTAAGTGTAGCGGGTTATTCTGTAAGTGTAGCGTGTTAGACTGTAAATGTAGCGTGTTATGCTGTAAGTGTAGCGTGTTAGACTGTAAGTGTAGCGTGTTATGCTGTAAGTGTAGCAGGTTATCCTGTAAGTGTAGCGTGTTATCCTGTAAGTGTAGCGTGTTATGCTGTACGTGTAACGGGTTATCCTGTAAGTGTAGCGTGTTAGACTGTAAGTGTAGCGTGTTAGACTGTAAGTGTAGCGTGTTATGCTGTAAGTATAGCTTGTTATCCTGTAAGTGTAACAGGTTAGACCGTAAGTGTAGTGTGTTATGCTGTAAGTGTAGCGGGTTAGACTGTAAGTGTAGCGGGTTATCCTGTAAGTGTAGCGTATTATCCTGTAAGTGTAGCGTGTTAGACTGTAAGTGTAGCGTGTTATGCTGTAAGTGTAGCGGGTTAGACCGTAAGTATAGCGTGTTATGCTGTAAGTGTAGCGGGTTAGACTGTAAGTGTAGCGGGTTATCCTGTAAGTGTAGCGGGTTATCCTGTAAGTGTAGCGTGTTATCCTGTAAGTGTAGCGTGTTATCCTGTAAGTGTAGCGCGTTATGCTGTAAGTGTAGCGGGTTATCCTGTAAGTGTAGCGGGTTATCCTGTAAGTGTAGCGGGTTATCCTGTAAGTGTAGCGGGTTATCCTGTAAGTGTAGCGGGTTATCCTGTAAGTGTAGCGGGTTATATTGTAAGTGTAGCGTGTTATCCTGTACAGTCTACCATGCTACACTTACAGTCTACCACGCTACAATTTCAGTCTATCACGCTACACTTACAGTCTACCACGCTACACTTACAGGTTATCACGCTACACTTTGAATTTATCACGCTACACTTACAATCAAAGAGATCTGCAGTTTATCACACTTGGTTGCACTCACAAAATTGCACAAGAACAAAATAACACTCATAAAATTACACAAAATTCCACAAAATAGCACTCACAAAATTGCGCAAAATTCCAGTCTTACAAACTCCAAAATTGCACAAACAATAACGATATTGCACTAACAACACTTTCATTATCTACTTTCAAAAACTTACAATCTGAAACAATATGTTACAAATCAAACTCCAAAATTACACAAATCTTCAAAATATACTTAGCATAACTAATCATATATTCAAGGCAAGCTCTAGACTTTTTAAAATGTTACAAATCTTCACAAAAAACATAGCATAACTGATCATATATTCAAGGCAAGCTCCAGGCTTTCAAAAATGTTACAAATCTTCAAAATGTACATAATATAACTGATATTATATTCAAGGCAAGCTCCAGACTTTACAAAATGTTACAAATCTTCAAAATTGCACAAATCTTCAAAATGTACATATAGCATAACTGACTCCATTAACTCTACCCAGCAATTTCTCTTTCACAATCTTCAAATCAAGCTCCATACTCTCCAACTCTTTATAAGCAAAATTTACAGGTACAAAATTCCAGATTCTCCAGATTTCACACCTTTTGCTTTGCAAATCTATTGTGTACAAATTAGATTTAGTTCAACAGAAACGATACATTCATAAATTGATAAAACCAATTCTACGATTAGATTTAGTTCAACAAAAAGGGATAGCACAAAAGAACATCAATGAACTAACCCTAACCCCCCCAACCCCGACCCCGACCCTGACCCTAACCCTAACCCTAATCCTAATCGAGTATATAGAAATGAGATTTCACACGAAATCACTCCTCCTCGTCATCGAAAGAGATCCCGAAGTCAAAATCATCAAGCATCTTGTTGATCGTTGAAGAATTGTAGTGTCTCGTTAGAGAGGGTGGAGGTGTGTCCGGCTGCCTCGAGATCCGTCGTAGGCCTTTTCAAGACATCAATCACTAAAATCATGGGCCTTTCTTCCTTTCTTCTTCGATTTCTTGAAGGGGGCATGAGAGGTGGGATCGGAGGAGGAAGACAAAGCCTTGAGGAAGGAGGAAGACGAAGACCTGAGGAAGAAGGAAAATGAGGAGAGAGAGAGGGGGTCTGGTTTAAGTGGGGGTATTGAAGGGTATTTTAGGGTTTTTATCATGTTTGGGTATGAATACCAGTGTTGTATATACAGTATTTTAGAAATTGGGTTTAAAGGCAAAAACAAAAAGAAACTTGGGTTTAAGAATACAAAGAATAGTTATTGGGCTTAGAGGTAAAGATGAGTAAACAAATGGGCCTAGAAATAAAAAACCCTAATAAATATTGAATGGAGATCCTACAATATACCAAATTAACAACATTGACCAGCCTACATAAGACATGCAATAGACAACAGAGTCTCAAGGAAGTAGAAGCATTACAGTCACCTTTCGAAACTAACGAAATCAATAAAAAGTATTAGTTAAGGCTAGATGTAATACACATTGTCTGAGCACATGAAATTGAGAAAAATAACAGTTCAAATGTTATCTATACAACATACACCAAGATGATAAGAATTAACATTTATGTCAGTTCAAATGTAAAATTGATGTATGTCACTAAATCCTTGTAGAGTTCAAGATCACTTGAGAAATACCAGTGACTGCTCGTTTCCCCAAATTTCAGTGTCAAAGTTGGGGAAAAAAACTTACAGATGGCATTCATAAACATGTGGCATTCAGAAATAGGGTATAGGCAGAGAAACAGGAATGTGAACAGTAAAGATGAAATTTGCCGCCCTCTTTCCCAGAGTACCATCCATCTAAAATCAGATTCTCACCTCAAAAATTGTAATACCGCAAAACTAAAATTATAACCACCCCAGCTTTTATACAACAGTTACTAAGGGGGATGCTAGACGTTTTACTTTTTAACTCTGTAATGATGAACTCTCAAAGTTCGGGGTCCTGTGAAACTTCCCACTCTTGGAGATCCTGTGCAAAAAAAAACCCAAAACTGTAGCTTGATATGCACATCATCTAGGAACCAGTTCTGAAAATCGCTGACAATTTGCATAGTTGATCATGCAGCTCAATGATTCTGTTGTCAAGAACCGCAAAATCCACCTGTAAATAAGAAAAGCCATCAAAAAGTGTTAGACAAAGACACAAGATCTAGGAATAGGGATTGAGATGAACAGTAATCAAGTAGGTTGTTTGGCATGAACAGCGGTTGCTTGCTGTGGAGCTGCTTAGTTCTATCTGTAAAGAAGGTGGCAAACAAACTTATCTATTGGGTTGGTGTTACGAGCTTTATCCCAGTGAATTTGATGATTTGAGAATGATCAATATGTTTAGAAGCGAAAATAATGAGCCACTACCTCCGCGAATAAAGGACTGGCAGTCAGGTGACCCTTTAACTCACCAATCTAAACGTGCTCGGAATCATGAGGCTTTGCAGGTATTTATCTCTTATTTCTCTCTAAATTTCAGCCAGTACTAACTGATTTATGGTGCGTGTACTAACTGGTTTATGGTGCATATGATCGTTAAAATTCGCCATGTTTTTTATAAAGAGATACTTATAAATGTTATATACTCTTAATTAAATTTATATATTGGTTAAATGGTGCAAAATGCACTGTTCTATGCTTATGAAGATGAAGAACTCATTTATCGTAGATTTTTTTTGCTTATCAAACATTAACACTGACATTTGCCATGTTCCAGTGAATTTAGTTGGTTGTGGAGTTGTCTGACATAATGAACTTCTATGATATATCTAATCTAATCTGGGCCTCATTCCCATCTAATAATAGGGCTTCATAATGAACTTCTATGATATCCAATCTGAGCCTCATTCCCATCTAATCTAATCTAATCTAATTTATCTAATCTATAAAATCTAATCTAATTTATCTAATCTAATCTATGTCTAAATTTATTCCTCTATGTATATCTATACTATACATATCTATACTTACCACCGAAGAATGCTCTAGAGACGAGACATGTCTTCCTGCAGCAACAACAAACTCATCCACATGAACCTGTGTATCTACTTGATCCTTCAAAGCATCTCGGGCTTCAGACGACAAGGTCTCCCAAGCAGAATACATAGCGCTCTGCTTAAAAAAAAATTGATTTTAGTATGAAACAATTTCTTATAAAGAATGTCTTCATAATATTTTATACCTGAATAGCCTTTTCTCTCGCATTTTGGTATTCTGCTGCAAGTCGCGAAGGTTCATATTCGAAGTCAGTCGAGACACCAGCGGTAGCACTAATCTGAAACCAAAGATATTGTAATTAGTGAATAGACAAAATATAGAAATTCAAGTTGGAAGTTTGCCAAGAGTTGAACCTCCAATCTACGTGCAATGAGATCCACGTAATCATCTTTGACAACTGTCTCCAAGTTAGAGTTTAGAACCTAGTAAACATGATGAATGCATAGTTAAGTGTAACAAGAATTTGGATATATAAACATGTGGAAAAGTTATTGGGCATTGTAAACATACTGTCAGCCTGGTTAGCAATTCTGAGATTGTCGCCAACTCGTTTTCCATCTTTAATTCTCTGTTTAGAGTTAAGTTAAATGGTTTAACAGATGACACAAGAATAATGCATCTTGGTTATCTAAATAAAATAAAGCAAATCCCATAAGAGCATTAGAAAGAGTCAAGTTTCATTGCATTTGTCCTCTGCAGATTTAGTTTATCGGCTACATGATGATGACACACTTCCTCATCTATAGTGCAAAAGGAAAAGGGGGAAAAGGTAAAGAAAAATGAAAAGTTAAGCTGGTGTAAGGATTCAAAAGACCCATTATTTTACCAAAATTTATGGCAGTAATTCGATATTGCACAACAGATGGAATGAATTTCAACCATTGACACGAAAAAAGTTCACCCGACTTATTATCTTCATACCCTAATCTCATGTTTCTTCTAATCTTAAAGTCTAAAGAGAATTGTAATTGGATAGTGGCATAATGCTCACAATACTTGACAGCCAACTCACTCCGAATATGTGAGCACACAACAGAGCTCTTTTGAAAGCAAGATTAATGAAATGTAGCAAGTGTATTTAAGTTTCACTTTGAGCACACAACAGAGCTCTTTTGAAAGCAAGATTAATGAAATGTAGCAAGTGTATTTAAGTTTCACTTCCAAAAGTTTAATAGGGTTGGAAAAACAAACTAAAAACTGAAAAAACCAATTCCCGGTAACTAAATAATTACTCATACAGGGTTTGCACAAACATCATTTAGTCTCTACTAGCAACTTTCTTTTATTGATAACATGGCGTTATTCAAATTTGTCCCTACTAGCAACTATCTTTCTTTTATTGATAACTAAATGATTACTCATACAGGGTTTGTACAAACATCATTTAGTCCCTACTAGCAACTATCATATTAAGAATGGACTGTACAGTCTTCGAGAACATGGCGTTATTCAAATTCAGCAGTTAGTGTCACACAAAAATAACACACAAGAAGAAGACAACAAGCTTCATTCGTATGTTGTAAGCCTAAGCTTGTCTCCCTCTCAATCCATATCTTTGAGAAGTCGAGAGAATACAAAAGATGTTCCATTGCTTGAATACAGAGTAATATAGGCCTAATCCATGCACACAAAAACATAACTCAACATATAGAAAATCAAATGGCAGCAAAGGATAGGTAGCATATCTACTGAAAAAAACAAGCGATAATATAAATTCAAACTTGCTAATAAAATAACTAGACATGCAATAATTACACAGGTAATGAAATAACAAGAACACCTACTCAATCCCAAAAACCAATACCTTAAAATCAATCAAATTTACCTCTCCAACAGAGCTGTGCTCCTAATCTTTGGCACCTGAAGAGGATGCTCCCTCTGTAGTAGTTATATGAACAGACGAGTCCTGCTAGAAATTTAATTTAATATTTATAGTAAGGAAATAACACCAGGTGATCCCTCTAGAAATTACTAGAGAAATGGAATATTTTGCGGGAATAGAGAGTAATATAGGCCTAATCCCTCCATACAGAGACATAATTGAACAAAACAGAAATCAAATGGCAGCAAAAGATAGGTAGCATATCCCACTGAAAAAACAAGCAATAACATAAATTCAAACCTGCTAATAAAATAAGTAAACATGCAATAATACATGGTTAATAAAATAAAAAAAACACCTAGACAATCTCAAAAACCAAAACACTAAACCAATCAAATTTACCTTTCCAACAGAGCTGTGCTCCTGATCTTTGGCACCTGATGAAGACGCTTCCTCTGGATTAGGTATCCGGAAATACAAGTCCTGCTAGAATTTTGGTTCAATATGTCATTTAGAAAATAAAACAAGGTAATCACTCTTCAAAGGGTGGCACTAGGGGCACACCCCCAACCACATCCCAAACCACACCCCCTCTCTCATATGTTACAGTGCACCGGGCCCCACATGAGATTTTAAAATTTTAAAATCCTATGTGGGACCCGGTGCACTGTAGCATATGAGAAAGGGGATGTGGTTTGGGATGTGGTTGGGGGTGTGCCCCTATCATTTTTCCCTCTTCAAATCACTAGAAAAATGGAATATTTTGCTAAGAGAAAAGAATGGAATAACTACACTTTGAATATCAGCTAGCAAAGTGATGAGAACAAGAACTCACAATCTTCCATTTTAGCTTAGTTTTAATTTTTCAAATTTAAAATTTAAAATTTAAAATTTGAATTTTGAATTGTAGTTGAGTAATTTGAGGGATTGTTGTTTTATTTCTATTTTTATTGCATGTTGTGTGCACGTAGTTTTTCTTTATAAGTAAGGTTGTATGAGACTATTGAAGAAAAATGAATTATTGAATGAAAAATTGCATTAGCTAAAATCTGGTGTGAAGCATTGGGTGTGAAACCTAGGCCTCGGGTGTGAAACCCTAGGCCGTTCCCTGTGTCCTCTTCCTCCAGTCGCCAAGCATTCCCTCGTCTTCCCCACGTCAATAATTAGTCAAACTCACCTCTTCCCTGTAAACCACCAGATCCACACCCAACTCGCCCCTGATCTCCACCTCCGCACCACCAACGCCATCATCTCCTCCCAAGCAGCCGCCCTATTCCCACCGTCACCGAGCCTCCTTTCCCAGCAACTGCCGCATTCATGTACACTAACTGCTTGGCAAAATTCTTCACCAGAGCAATACTACCACTGCCACAGCCGCTTACCGCAGATCATCACAACGCTATCGTCCTGTCATCCTTGTCGACGCCGTCACTCTAGTCGCTGCTCAGAATCGTCGTCACCGTCGTCATTCAGATTCGTCACCGCGTCGTTATCAGTTCAACACCGTCGCACTCGTCGTCGTCAGATCTCCACCTCATCGTCGTCGTTCAGTTCACCGTTGTCATCGCACCACCTCCAGAGGTCTCTCACGTCGTGTCTGTTCAGACAGACGAAGGTTTCGCTCTATTTATTTTTCTGTTTATCTCATTTGGTTAGTTAATTGCATGAGTATGTTGTCTCTAAACCATCATCATATATTCGCTGCTTAGATTAGTTTTTGTGAGTTGAGAGTAACTGAACATGTGACTGTTAAAAATTTGATATTGATTGTGAAACTGATACAATGATAATGAATACTGAGATTATATTTATCGAGATTGGAATTGTTCATGATTATCGTTGCAAATCTTGTTAAAATCCAAGGTTATCGATAGCGGATAGCGTCGCGTAGCGATGAGGCATCGCTAAGGCTATTTATGGCTATTGCGGTAAAAAACGCAAAGTCAAATAGCGGTCTAATTCATATATGTATTGTAGGCGTCAAAAAATGCTCATAGATATCCAAATACGACTCAAGACTGAGAAGAGAACAATGTGCATGCGTGTGACAAAATACACTGATAGGCGACACGTATAGGCGCGGCAGCCCATGGTGACGCGCGTAAGGCGCGACAGCCCATGGTGACGCACATAAGGCGCGACAGTCTATGGTGACGCACCAAAGGCGCGGCAGCAAAGTATGACGCGCAAATGATAAAGTAGCCTCTTATGTAAATTGTTGACAGTTTTTAACATCTCTTGGAGGTCCACGTGGCAGCATATCAGAAAGAGAACATGTGCTGACGTGGACAAGCAGTTAAACCACAAAAAAAATGATTAAAAATCATAGAAGGACTATTTCAAACAGGATGGAACGTGGCTAGAACCGTCTCTTTGGCCGCGCCAGTCCACACTGACGCGCCAATAGCCGCGACAGCATAGACTGACGCGCCCAAAGAGCCTACACTCGATCAGTTATTTTGCATCCATTTCGACTGTTGTGCACCTCTATCCCTATAAATACCTCCCTAAACACGAAGCAAAAGACAGAGCAGATTGGAGCATAGATACTTGAGCTTTTGGTGATTTTGAGCAAGAGAGAAAGTCTTCATCTTTCATAGATAGCTCTCAGTGATTCCTAGAGATCTAATCTCTGACTTGATCTTTGGAAGTGTGAACATCTTACATCGATAAAATATTCGCTTCAAATTCCTACTTCGATAAACGAAGAAGGAACCTCTAAACCTCTTTCACGATCTGTGAATTGGTGGTCCACGAGCCAAAGCATTCCCGACACAGGCAAAGTCCCACAAAGCAAAAGTCGATAAACGATTTTTATGTTATTTTCTCGAAAGTTGTAATTTTCTTATTTTTCATTGCATTTCATTGTAAGCGACTGAAGTTTAATGGAATCATTAATGGAAACGACTTTTGACGAAAACAAACTGGCGACCACAATGGGAGCCAGCGGCCTCGCTGCCGAGGCCGTAGTGTCGCAACCGATCAAGATCGTGATCAACGAAGACATCGAATATGAGTTCGATCAGGCAAAATTCGAAGAGTATCTGTCATCCTCATCCTTAAAACCTTCCTCGTCCCGTAAGTATAGGAATGTTTCATCTTCCAAGAAGGTTATCCAGTCTTCAACTTCGGTGTAGTCTACATGTGAAGACTCTTACCCAATTGTTGCTAAGAACTCTGCTTGCAACATATCTGCTCCTAATGACCCTGCACCATTTAAAGAGTCATTGAATCATGGCCTACCAGCGTTGACGAAGAGGGTTCGTCAGAGACAACGCCGGCGTCGTGCCCGTCAATTGGCCAAAACCTTACAACAAACCGATAGGGTCCATTACTATGCGGACCTAAAGTCGAGAAAGCATACAACGAACCAGTTGCCCCAAAGACAAGACACTCATATTTCTGCACAACTTACGACGGAGAAATGAACCCTCGTCAAAAGAGCACGTTCAACTCTCAAAGAACGCATACAGAAGCGTCGTATAAGAGCCGCTCGCACTCGTGCTCGTCGTCAACAAATGCAGAAAGAGAAGAAAGAAATGACGTCTGAAAAGCCACCGAAGAACTACAAAGTTTGGGTTCCCAAAACCGAAGATGCTAAACAATATAAAGGGTTTTGCCTCTATACCCTACAAACCTAAACCCATAGTTTAGGTAATTATCCTAACAGTCTTTGACATTGAGTTAAAATAAACCTATCATTTAACATTATTCAGTTTCAGACTTTTAAAGGGGTAAATGACGAATACCCCCTCGCCCTAAACAATATAAAGGGTTTTGCCTCTATACCCTGCAAATCTAAACCCATAGATTTTGCTAATGCAGCCTGCAAGTAGAAATGAGGCAAACGAATGGTAATAATAGGAGACATTAACTATGATTTGATTTGCCTGTATGAATACGATGTTCAACGGACCTAATGCAGGATCTAAGCCCCGCGATAGATATTCATAAAGTGCTTTAAACTTGAAGGAGGACCGAATAGCATTTTCCTAGAATAAAAACAAAGAAAAAAGATATGAATATTAAAATCACCAAATAATTGATTTACACTTTCAAGCATTTAATAAGCTAAGTTAATCAATTATGATAAAGATCATAAAACCTCAAGGAAGAAGAGCTTCTTGTGAGAAAATGACCTGAAACTTCTGAGAAAGTGAAACCTCGAATTTAGAATGCTGGCTAGCAATAGTAGCAATTCCTCTAACGATTTGTCGCTCGATAGTGTCTTCAAGACTGTTCTTCAGATCTGGAAGCAATGAAGACCGGATAAGATCATCCATAGCAGCCTGCATACATTTAAGTATGAATCAAAAGTAGTTAAAATATATAATCAATTTTTACAACAAATAGTGCATAAATTCCATTAATCGCTTATCCACATCCTCTCCGTGACAACTAGGAGGTGATTTCAAATACCCATAATATTTTATAAGTAATGAATCACTTCACTTGTCTTCTAAGTTATGCTTTAAGTTTTGAATTTAAATTGCAAATATCTTCCATTTGAACTCAAAATCCGTAGCCCAAATGATATTAGACCCAAGCCCAAATCCACCTCTGCTTCCTCTCTCTTCCTCAAACAGATTCCAAGCATGGAATGCGGAAAGTTCAAGTTTAAAGTTACTTAATAGGATACTAACTTGTGTGCGCATGAGATAAACTGAGAAAGCTGAAGCTTGCATGCTAGTTAAGTCCTGATACTGGAGTTGCACACGATCAGAAGTATGTTGATGTGGCAGAAGCATCTTTGTAAGCAAACTGACTAGACCTCCCTCCCTCGTTGCTTTTAATTGACCAAGGGGTGAAAAACCCCTATATTGACCACAATGAAGAACACAGGGACAGTCGACACAGGTTCCAACAATGGGAATAATATGCCTATAACTCTGCTGAAACTTACCACTTACTAACATCTCGAAAAGGATGAAAACAAGTAAATATATGGACAACTTATCCTCATGCAACTAAAGGAGAAAAAGTACAGCAAAGGAAAACTGCAAACCTTTAACTGAATATTTTAATAGTTTAATATATTAAGTAAATCAAAAAGTATATATACTGAAGAATATTGCAGCAGTATTCCAGTTCAAACCAAGAATAGGTATAGCATACCTGTAAGACTTACACAGATACAACATAGCTTCCCAGTAAGGATTTGTGTAAAACCCTATTTTTTCCTATAAGTACAACTTTGGCTAAATATAAAAATACTTCCATAAACCATACTTTTCATATCCTTTCCCATTTCTCTTATTGCCTGCTTCTTATGTATTGGGAGTTGCAACCAATTCCCAATTACTACGAGCAATTAGCGGTAGCAAATGCTGCCCAAAAAACTTCATCAATCATAAGGAATTGACAAGAAAGGAGGGGAATCTCACAAAAAACAAAACCAACATCTCCCATTATTTTTATTCATTTCACAATTTTTTTATCCCCTACAAATGTAGATGCATCTCTATTTATCCATTTTGCAACTAGAAAATACACAATTCGTTTGCCCTCTTGATGCACGGTACAAGGAATCTCTATTTATCCATTTTGCAACTAGAAAATACACAATTCGTTTGCCCTCTTGATGCACGGTACAAGGAGACTTTGTAGTAGTAAAGGAAGATCTTAAAATACACAATTCGTTTGCCCTCTTGATGCACGGTACAAGGAGACTTTGTAGTAGTAAAGGAAGATCTTAAGTAGAGTCTACAAATAATATACCCTTTACAACATTGACATAAGCACACATATTAAAAAGGTCAATAGAATTTATTTAATAATTTCATATTAAGTTCTACGTATTTTCTATGAAATATGGGTATTACTCAGAAATCTAAAAGATAGAACGAGTTTTGATTGCTACAAGTTCGATAATCTAACCACTATAAATAAAACCTCACTAGAGACCTCATTCATCAGTAACAGGTTCCAAGCATGGAATTGGGAAGTCAATGTTTAAAGTAACTCAACACGGTATTAACTTGCGCGTCAATGAGATAAAACTGTGGAAAAAGATATACCTGAATGACCTCAACTCCAGATTCACGTAATTCCTCTCGGATGGTTTGGATGACTTGAAATCTGAAGTAGCCCATCGGTTTGATAAGCTCCACGCCAAAGATCTGGGGGGGGTTGCGGGCTCGAATCGAAGCAATGGAAGAAGTTTCGAGCGGGTATATGAATACATCAGTTGTCATCAAGAATCACCTAGAGGATCTGCGACAGCGGGTCGAAAAGTTGGAAGGAGATACCAAGGCCGGGATTAAAAATCTAGGGGAAGAGGTGGAGAATGTGAAGGGTAGAATTCTAGAAATTGGAGAACTGCGAGCGCTGATCGAGAATTTGGTGAAGGAGACTAAACAAGTTCCTGAAAGTATTCGGAGACATATTTCTATTACTGCACGGTTACAGTATGATGAGTTGACTCGCAAGCAAGCTTCCGCTTTCACAGAGGAATTATGTGGATCTAGAGTTCATGTCATTCGGGTATATCTTTCTCAGTATATATACTTTTTGATTTACTTAATATATTAACGACAAAATGGCCAGATTAGTATATTTTTTAGAGGCTTGGTGACATGTTGTATTTAATGAGGGGATCTTTTACAAAAAATCCCATCAGTCCTGGCCGGAACTATAACTCTGGCCAAATTTAAGGCCTATATGGTGCCGAAGTTGAAAATTTATACCAATCTGACAAAACTAAAAGAAAATATACCAATATGTTACCAAGCCTCTAAAAAATATACCAATCTGACCATTTTACCGTTAATATATTAAGTAAATCAAAAAGTATATATACTGAGAAAGATATACCCGAATGACATGAACTCCAGATCCACATAATTCCTCTGTGAAAGCGGAAGCTTGCTTGCGAGTCAACTCATCATACTGTAACCGTGCAGTAATAGAAATATGTCTCCGAATACTTTCAGGAACTTGTTTAGTCTCCTTCACCAAATTCTCGATCAGCGCTCGCAGTTCTCCAATTTCTAGAATTCTACCCTTCACATTCTCCACCTCTTCCCCTAGATTTTTAATCCCGGCCTTGGTATCTCCTTCCAACTTTTCGACCCGCTGTCGCTGATCCTCTAGGTGATTCTTGATGACAACTGATGTATTCATATACCCGCTCGAATCTTCTTCCATTGCTTCGATCCGAGCCCGCAACCCCCCCAGATCTTTAGCGTGGAGCTTATCAAACCGATGGGCTACTTCAGATTTCAAGTCACCCAAACCATCCGAGAGGTTTTTAATCCGGGTGGCGTCCGCGGCCCTCGCCTTTGAAATCAAATCAACCTCTTTGTCTAGGCGAGCTTGGAAACGTGCGGAAAACAACTCTCCAGCACCGCTCGGATTAATATGCGGCAAGCCTTCTCGTGACGCCTTCTCTTTCAACCCCACAACCTCCAGTACATCTTCACCAAGCGGTAACGGCACTTGAAAGAGGTTGGGATGTCAGAGAGAAGCCTCGACGGGGCCGCGCGGGATTGTCCGGCGTGACCGACCCCAGGACGCTTTCTGTGGCCGTGGCTGAGGATTGTCCGGCAATAACGCGTCCCCGTGACGCTCTGTGGCCGTGGCTCGAGGATTGGCACGCGCGCCCGCCCCGGACGCTTCTGTGGCGGTGGCTTGAGGACTGGCCCCGCCCGCTTCTTGTTCTCTCGAATGCTTGTACCACCCAGTCGCGAGAGAAGAGCGCTCGGTTGATTTGGAGGATGTTGAAGGTTGGTAAGTGAGTGATTTGCTTCTGTGGCGCGGCTGAGCGACTGACCTCCGTCCGCTTCTCTCTTCTTCTTCTTATTTTTTTTTTTTGTTTTGGGGCGACAGAAGACTGAACCGACCGGGAGGTAGGGTTTTTGATCGCTGGGCCGTTCGATGGGAGAGTACGCCACATGATTAATAGCTATGATCTTCTGAGATGATGGTGTTCAAGTTTGGGAACAAATTATTCATTTTAGGCGCCAAATAAATCATGCTATAATTTTAAAAACTTATTTGTCATGCCACGTAGTAGCCATGGCGATAAAACGAGGGGGGGGGGGGGGGGGGGGGGGATGGCAGTACTAAGAAGGAAGACGAAACAGCTTGTGAGAAACTAAAAGAGTTTTAAAATTTTGAAATTACTACATTTATAATAAATTTAGGTTAAGGTAAATTGTATATAAATCCCTCATCTATACCTTCAGTAACAATTAATCCCCTAAGTTATTTATTAGCACATAGCACTCTTCCCCTAAGAATTGAGAGGGGATAAGTGCTAATAAATGAGCTAATTAAAGACATATATTTAAGGGAGTTATGTGCAACTTACCCTTTAGTTTATTATATCTTTGTATTTTAATTTTTTCTGCGGTTTCTAAAATCACATATTTTGTTTCAAATCATATCGAATCTTTGAAGATAAGTTGTATACAAGTCTCTCATCGATAATCAATTCCTCTAATTACCAACTTCCGTAACTTTATCGATTACATGTCAAAGGAACCTTCTTCCACTAATGAGGTCTTGTTACGTGGATTTACTTGCTCACAAAGTAAATTCTATAATTACCTCAACCAATAATTACCTCAACCAATAATTTACTTGCTCACAAAGTAAATTTACTTGCTCACAAAGTAAATTCTATAATTACCTCAACCAATAGGATAGTGACATATGTACCACCTGATTTGTTTGGACAATTGGCATAAATATTTCTCCTATCTTAGTAAAGGTACCTCATACCTTTTTTAGTCAGTCTTGAAAGTTCTCAACCCAGACTAGAGAGAAGGGACATAGCCTAGCGAGAATAGGCAACTCGACTTGATGAGAAGGGATAAGTCGGCCAGGCGAGAAGGGACATCTGTCTCGGCCTGGTGAGAAGGGACTCCTGTCTCGGCCTGGCGACAAGGAACATCTATTTCAGTCTGGCGAGAAGGGATGCATTGCTTGGCCTGTCTCGGTCAGCTTGAGTGCAATTTGCTTAAGACGTGTCAGCTAGTTGAATATTGATCAACACTTACTTCTATGGCACAACAATTTTTAACGCATAAAAGGATAATTCCCCTTAAAAAGAATTTTACGACCGTGTCTAGTCGAATGGTGAACCCTCAAATTGCATCCTAAAGTATCAACTTGCCATTTTGCCCCTTAACTATGTGTGTATGTCCAACGCAATTATTTTGTGAGCCTACAACATAGATTAATGACGTGTTAGTATTCTGCTAACATTTAATATATTTTTTGCAATCTAAAATTTCTGCTAATCAAATATTTCTTGAGTTCGATTCAGGATGTGCTATCAAAAGATTATTTTATAGAGAGACACAGATGAACCAATAATCTCTCTTTATAAAAATCAGTAAAGACAAATATCAAATAAGTAACTAATAAAAAATTTGATCAATTCATTAATAATATTTTACAAGGCAGACTAATTCATCATCAACTTTAAATAAAATATGATACATGTATAATTTTGCACATATATTTTTAGAACTGATTTTATAAACTACACCCCAACCCCACACACACCCAACAAAAAAAACCAACCAACAAAAAACCCTAAAAAATAAACTATAGTTAATGTCTTAAGCATCCTTTAGGTCTTTTTAACTTGACAAAAAATGCCTCAAGTTTGGGCATACTATAGATAACCCTACTCAACTTTCAAATTTAAAGAAAAAACCCTTAATTATTTTTTGTTTCATAAAA